GATTACACACATTACAAGTTTAACTACAATTAACGCGATGAAACGAATCAGTTTATGTAGCTTAATTTTCTCAAGTCGACTTGACAGAATACGCACCTTGAGATTTAGAGTTGGTTTTGTTCCTTTGTTTATACCTATACATATATATATGGAGAAAATACAGTACATAGTTACACACCAGAAATTAAATCCAACAAATACATTATACACATATGCAATTCGAGTAATGTTGTATTTATATAAATACATATAAATTAATTAGCTACCTTTTGCAATTTGAGAAGCAAGAGTTGGTACGTAGACTCCAGCATAAGACTCTCCCGAAATATAAAACGGATTTGGTTGAAACTCTGGGAATTGCTGAAACCACTGTGATTGCATAAACAATACAGAATTCTTAGCAACAAAATAGAAGAAACAAACGAAAAAGAAAAGGGAGATTTTGGATGCGGTCCTTAGTTATGAATATTCTTTGATTGAAACCTTATTGGTTTTTAATTTTTGATCGAGATCCCTGAAATTAATATGATAATTTATTTCTATGTACGTTACTATATTTTTTAAATTAAAAATTAGAAATTTTAGTTGTTTATATAAATGAGATTTTAAATAAAAAAACCATAATTTGGGGGATTAAAAATATTAAAATATAAATATACTATTGTGTGTGTGTGTGTGTGTGTGTAAACATGGGTACATTCATCAAGATTAACCAAAAAATTTATTGTATCAAAAAATGGGTACATTCTTCAAAATCACAAAAAAAAAAGAAGATATTAAGCTTAATAACATTAGTAAATTTCTTCGATTAAACTTGACATTGATACATTTTAAAATCAAAGAAAAAAGAATGTACCCATATAAGTTTAAAAATAGATTAGAAAAAAATTGAATAGATTTTATATAAAAAAATGGTACATTTTACATATAACAAATTGGTATATTTAAGAATGAGTACATTTTAAGATTAAAAAGTTTTACATGAATGGGTACATATAATTAGCAGGGGTACATTTAGCAAAATAAAAAGTACAAATAAAAAAAATATGGGTACAAATACAAATAAACTTTAAAAAATATGGGCACAAAAAGAAATTAATATATGAGTACAAATTAAAACTGAAAAGAAAATTGGTACAAATTAAAAATGTCACATCCCGGCCCGGGATCCACCACATCTCAGGCCCGCTCCACCACCATAGCACGATATTGTCCGCTTTGGGCCCCGACTATGCCCCTCATGGTTTTGTTTCTAGGAACTTAGACGAGAACTTCCTGGTGGGTCACCCATCATGGGATTGCTCTTGTGCGCTACTCGTTTAACTTCGGAGTTCCTACGGAACTCGAGCCAGTAAGCTCCCAAAAAGTCTCGTGCTAGATATGGATGAAAATACACATTTAAGGATCACTCACATGAGCGATTTGGGATGTAACAATATGTTTATTTATGAATATTTTCTCCTAATCATTACTCTTGTAATCAATAACTGACTTTCGTCACCCTCAGGTGTCGGCCAGCACGTGCCTATCCGTGTATTCAGAGAATATCAGGATCGAGACGTGTCATATTGGTATCAGCAGCGAAAGCGTGGTCGGGGCCCAAAACGGACAATATCGTGCTACAGTGGTGGAGCGGGCCCGGGAAGTGGTTTGCCCCCGGGCGGGGATGTGACAAATGGTATAAGAGCCAATCCCTAGCTGAAAGTGTGCCGACGAGGACGACGGGCCCCTAAGGGGGGTGGATTGTTACATCCCACATCGCCCATGGAAGTGATCCTTAAATGTATATTCTCATCCATGGGCGATGTGGGATGTAACAATCCTTAAAATACAGTAACATTTTAAACATTAAATGAATATATTTAGAAATAAAAAATTATTTTATTATTGAAATAATTAATGATATTATTAATATCCAAGAACTTTGATAAAAAATTGAAAAAAAAAAATATTTTAATCAATGGAGTAGTAAAACAAAGGATGAGAACCTAATTTATCCAAAAGAAAATGTATAGCATCACAGGACAACATTTTTAATCCCCTTTATAATCAATAAGCATATGATGATCTGTAATATGATATTGAGGAGTATATTAATTAATTAGAAAAAAACAGATTAATTACCCGGAGGAGAAAGGCATGGGTATCAAGAGCAGTCTGGATATCCCCAGTGGTATATTTGGTTTGGTTTCGAGAGTAAGAAAAATCCAACACCAGCAGGAGAATCCAAATAAAATTATGTTGGAAACCTGATAATTAATTAATTAATTGGTTATTAAATTATGCCCAATACTAAAAAATAAAGATGATAAAAATTAGTAAGGGGAAAACATGGTAGGCTTTCTATATAAATAATGTTTAATTAGATCTACCTTGGACCAGCTATAAGGATTAAGATGCAAAACAGGCAATGCTCCTTTAGGTTTTCCTTCTGCAAAATTGAATGGTCCTACATATATACATAATACATAATTAATCAAGTAAATTAACCTAAAAATATGATCTCATTTTCAAAGTTAATGATGTCACATCAATTTTTGGCCAAGGAATGATAAGATTTTGTCACATGTTGCATATTCTAGATGATGGTGTCAAGGAGTTTCATATGATTAACATCTAGTAGTGGCTTTTTATTTTTTGTGGTTATATTCAAAATAAATTAGCAGACAACAAGAAAAGACAACAATTCAATTATGTGTGGTGCCAATCTGCGTACAGCTGAAATGGACAACACACTTACACGTGTTTAGAGTTATCTGTGATTGTGTTTCCAACACATATTAATATGCCTTACTCCGGCCCAGCAACAAAGATTGAAAGCGCCGATCTTCCCGTGCCAAACTCAGGAGTCAGAGGTAAACAAAATTTTTTTCAAATTTTGTATGGTTTACGAGAAAATTTTATGGTTTTCCCCTTTAACTCTAAATACCCAATTTTTTGAGGTAAAAAAGGAAGAAAATTGCCTAGTAATCGTCGGGATCTTGCCCAATAGCAATCGTCAGGGACCTGTTAGATAAGCTTTTCTTTAATTTCCTAATCTTAATGTTATTAAAACTGTCAATGATTCATAAATTGGGTGCTTCAGTTCTTTGTTTGATGATTATAAAGTTTATAGTTAATTACGCATCATTGGTTGCAATAATCAGTAATTTGCCCAGAAACTATTTGTGAAAATGTTTCAAAGGCAATGCTTGTATTTATTTTTTTTATCGTGTAAAGGTTAAATTGTTGCGGAAATTTGCATGTAATGATTAGGATTGCAAGAAAACCGGTGAGTTACCATGTTAGGAAGTGCGCGTGTTCGGCTGAACCGGTGGCAGCAGGCGGCTGTGGCGGTCGGTTCGGCTGTGGGCGCATTGCTGGACCCAAGAAGAGCTGATCTCATAGCAGCTCTTGGAGAGACAACTGGGAAACCTGCATTTGAAAGAGTTCTTGAAAGAATGACGAGGAGCCCTGAAGGCAGGGTAGGCCTCTTCTGTCCTCACCCTTCTTGTTTAGTGATTACAATTCTTAATCAAATAACATGTTATGCGTTTAAGTAGTTGTTCGCCAAAAAAACTTTCTCGTAATTATGCACGGAGTTTCTGCTTAAGCTATCTGAGTTATGTTTTGTTAATGAAGGTGTTGGGAGTTTCGGGTTATTTGAGTCCATAGCATGTTTCTTTGAAAGTCTGCTTGAGGGAAGTCATATATGAACTGAACATTTTTTCTGTTAACAGCGGCAAGGGAATCGTGAAAATTGCTACCTGGGTTATATCCATTTCTGGTCAATTGAAGTCATATATCAGTCTTTCGTGTAAAATTGGCTAAATATTGTTCTTGTTGTTGTCGAGTATTGAGTGCTGCTGCTCTTAGTTTAGATAGGTGATAGCTAATGCAAACTGAAGTCATATATTCTTCTTCCACTGCAGTATAAATAATTGGTGTTCTTTTATAGTGTTACTTATAATGTGCTTCTAATTGAACTATTCTTCTCATGTAAACTGTTTTGCGTTGTTTTTGCCACCCGTATAACGAACTAAGAATGGCTATTGCTCGAGATATCTAAATTTTATGGAATCAGTACTTGAAAGCCATTTGGTTGCTGGTATGCAATGAAATCCTATTTTGTCAACGGTTTTGCTTTGTTATTCTAAGACCAATGCATTTCTTTCTTTACCAGGCCATACTGTTGGAGAAACCCCGTGTAATATCTGTAAACGTGGGTCATGCATGGGATCTACCAGCGAACACATTTGGTGCTGCCTATGCAAAGTTCATGGGATCTAGGAACTTCTCGCCAGATGATCGACCACCAGTGCGGTTCATGGAGACAGATGAGCTTGCATATGTGGCCATGAGGGCTCGCGAGGTGCATGACTTTTGGCACACCCTTTTTGGCCTTCCAACGAACTTGATGGGGGAGTCGGCCCTCAAGGTAATAGAGTTTGAGCAAATGTACCTTCCCATGTGCCTGATGTCCGTCATAGGGGCTCAGTGAGATTCAACGAGAAGCAAAGGAAATTGTTCTTTCAACACTACTTCCCTTGGGCCATCCCAAGCTGGAATGCAGTGCACGGATCTCATGTGCGTGTATTACGAGCGGCACTTTCACGAGGATTTGGAGGACGTTCGGAGAAAGTGGGGTATAATTCCTGCCCCTGCTCCTCCTAAACAAGCCTGACCATCAGCAGCCTCAGCTTGTTTGGCGGAGAGACTGTAAATTTCTCGAGCACAATGTACCCATTAACTTGTGTTTTTCTTGTCAACCCAAATAAGTTTTTGTTTGCACACGTTAATAGTTACAGGTCGATTTCAATTTACCTTCACAAATTGAATCTTCGTGTGCACAATATGTTAACGTATATCAACACCTCCGTTTTCCTCTTAAGTTAGGCGTTCTCTTCGGAAAAATGCAACCGAGATACGTAAATACAAACTCCGTAGGCGTGTCCCCGGCCAGTGACGGCGTTTCCAATCATAATCCGACATAGAAAACAACAGAAATGACCATGTAAAGATGGAGAAGAGAAATTAATCACTGAGAAAATAACGAGAAACACGAAATATGCACTAGGAAATGTTTGGTTTGTCCATGAAAACGAAATCTGTATCAGATGGTTTATCCATCTAAAATAGATCATTCTTTGGCTGAATGATCCCAACAACCACAAGACCTATATTACATCACAGAATCCATAGAGACTTCCATTGTTTATATAACGGATCAACGAAACGAAGGGCATGTCTGTCTCAGTTACCACCCGGTCCACCAAAGAGGTAACCCAAAGAAGATCCACCGCCCGGGGCAGCATGGACCTTGGTCGAGGGTCGATCCTGCACGCAGGGAGAATCAATATGAACATCAAAATAACACAAATTGTGCATAAAATAGAACGAAAACACTATATCAAACAATGAAGAAGGATAAGCCAATTCCAGCAGCTATATAAACCGTTTCAGTGAACAAATTATAAACACCAAGATATTTGGATAATAATTAAAAAGATAATGAAATATCGGAAGATTCATTGGGGTGTAACCATGTAAGTAAACTAGGTTTTGTCTAACCCCCAAACAATGAGGAGAATCATACCGTTATGAAGTTTCCGGTGTTCTGGCCATCTGCACGCATGTAGTTGTTTGTAGAGGTGCTATGGATACCAGCAGCAGGAATCGCCTTGGTGATATCAACTGGTTCAGGAGCAGGAGCAGGAGCAACAGGCTTGGAAGCAGGCTCATCTGGAACTGGCGCAGCTTGAGCATTGTTGGCAGCCGGTTTTGGAGCCTCTCCACTCCCAAAAAGATAGTTCAAAGAACTCTGTCCCCCACCGCTGCTAACTCCACGACCCATGTTCTGTAACTTCTTCACAGATAAACCCTACACCCTTACATTACAAACAGATGTTTAGAGTGGAATTCTGGAATAAAGAACAAAAATTGCAAGAAACTATACCAATGATTCCTAATTGACGCCTCAACCAGTAAAGAATATACCTACAGGAACAATTATCACAATAACTCTGTCACTACTTGACTCAGTGTCACGAAAATACTTTGAAATCAAAACACCATAACATGATCTAAACCATTGATCCATTTTATAAATCGAACCACTCACAAGAAACCCGAACGAGAAGGAAAAAACAAAAATCTTAAGAGTCTGCACCATGAACTTCAAGGTTGGAATCTGCCTTCGTCACAAAAAGGGTCAACTTTTCGATGTTTGATATACCAAACAAATTCAATTTCTACTTATTTTGGAATGATTTCTTCACAATTTTTAAAACCCAATTGATCGGTTCAGCTAAATTACACAAACAGAAGTTCAATTTAGCAAAATGCAGGCTCACACGCAGACACTTTGTCGGTATAAAAAATCGAAAACAGACAGATCCACGATCAACAGTTCATTCATCCTAGAAACCTCAAAAATCAGAAGCAAAAGAAACGTCTCAGTCAAACACTACCACGAATCAAAACATACATCTATAGATCTACCAAATGAAATGCACCCCAAAAATCCACCGATTAAATATCAAAATTATCCACTAGGAAAAGCATCAAATCAAGCACAGTAAAATTGGGTTCTAAAAAAGCGAGAAATTGAAAGCGAAACGCAGCGATTGAATCGTGTAAGTCAAAATCCGAGAAGGGAGGCAGAGAGATCTAGGGTTAGAGAGAGGGGCGCGTAGGGTACCTGGTTTGTTGGGATCAGATCTGGAAGGGAGAGCTGTGGAAGCAGAGAGTGTTGAGCTACTGGAGACACACAGAAAAACTGCACGCCACTTCTAGGTGTTATATAAACATATCAGTGCAGATACGCTGTCACTGTTTTCCAATTTTTATTTTATTATTTTTTGAATTATCCAGATTTTATTTATTAAATATTTCAATTTTTCACAAATTTAAACCCTACCCCAAAAAAATAAATAGGTCAATATTTGGTGGAAATTTGCAATATTAATCTTACTGAAATTGAATCGACCATCTTGGTTCTCTAATTCTTTACTTTTTCAGAATTTTTATTTTCTTTTTATAAAACAAATGCTGCATATGCGAAAAATGATAATTAAACAATGAGATTTATTGTTAGATGAAAATTTAAATATGAATCGTTGATCATATATTTAAATGAAATTATATTTTTTACCGCTTCGTTTGATTGTGACACAGAACTTTAGGTCATCACCAACCGAACAAGGGTCAAAGGGCTCCAAAGAGTCATAGGCCAAACATAGCTATTTGACAAAAAATCATCTCCAATTGAGAGGGCCAAAGGGCCATTAGCCAAACATAATTTATTATTTTAATTAAATTAAACTACCATTGTCACTTCCCGACCTGCGAATAAAGACTATCCACGAGTTAGGGTGTGAGTCATATCTTAGCTATAGAAATAAATTCCACAACCAAGATATGATGGAAAATAAAATGAAATAATTAAAATTTATTGCATACGCAGCGGAATAACAATAATGCAAAAATTAATTCACAACAAAAACTACTAACAAAATAATAATTAAATTGTAACAAATATTAGTATACAAAATTAATTCATAACAAAAATACCAACTAAAATAATAATTGAAATGAGTAACTCTTGAAAATACATAATATGTATGCAATGAGATGTATGAATGTATGTACTCACTCCCTTCTAATCCCGTCAACACATACCCAAGCCTGCACGTCCCATACCATGCTTATACCACTTGGCTCCGAGTACGTTATAATATGAGTTAACTCCCGTTCATCCCTTAACCCAATTTTTATAATTAAACTCTCAGTTTCCACTTTATTAAACAGGCTTCCCCCGACGCCCAAATGTATACTCAAGCCCTGCACCTTACACCTGATATATACACGGTTCATTATTTTATATTCAAGGCAAACTTTAGCCCTTGAATATCCTCACAACTTAAACACTTTACACAAGTGAGCACTTGACACAACACAACTCTTTTTCTTGCTTTGCAATGCATATGTATATGTCATGTTCACATAGATATCAATACTCACACTTTATCTAACAAGCCTGCAACTTCAACATAAATCAAATTGATTAGTAACAAGAGTAATATAATCATAATATTAACAAAATAATAATCTATAATCCATCATATAAAATGTTGCTCGTTGACCACTCCATATATATTTATTCATCGTCTCATCCATCTTGGTCGGGCAACCTGATTTTATTAGAAAAGAATAGACATCCATGTTAGAGAAAATAATCGTTAGAGTGAAATATATGTCTCAAATGCCACAAGGCATGAAATTATGTCTCTAGCTTTTCCCTTTCCAAACGTCATCTTTTATTTTTATTTTAGACCACCACTTCTGCTTCGTTAATATAGCTGAAACTATCAGCTGTTCGAACTGGGATATAAGTCAGCCATATATTCGATTGTCTTGGTTTTTGGATATGTTATAGAGGAGATGATAAGGAACAACTTTAGTGAAGGAAGTGTTTCGATTCGAGTTACGAAAAATGGGGTTTTGGTGCTCATACATGGCTATCCAGTTTTCTGCGGGATTAGAGACATGAGTTGGTATTTCAAACATAATGGACGATCACACCGTTGGATGTTTCTGAAATTTTTATATATCATGGTAGAGAGACAGATGAGCAACTCTCATGAAGGAAATATTATAGTAAAATACATGGATGATGGTGTTTTGATCTGTTAAATAGGCTGGACGAATTGCTAGTCTTGGATATCTTTCTTTTGATGGATGAAAATGATAGTAGTTTGATGGAGAGATTTGTTGGGTAAGGCTCATGTATTTTTCTGGGATTTGTCTCACACTCTTTGTACATCATCTTCAAGAGAGATAAATAGAGATTGCCGATAGTTTGGTGGAAGTGGTTCTCATGGAAAAGATCTCAAAATGTAAATGCATAAACACGCAAGATTTAAGTGGTTCGCCAAATTGACTACATCCATTGGGGTTTGCTTTCATTGTATTTCACTATATAGGAGGGACTTATGAATACAATGAAAGATGGCTTAAAGCCTTAACAATATGTAAAGGAAAGGTAATTGGATAATATGAAAGGAAGGATGGCTTTTTATTGAAGTTGTTCTTTTTTTTTTTCTTCTTCTTCTTCTTCCTCTCTCTTTTCTTCTTCCTCTTTCCTCTATGTCCTTCCGTTGTTTCTTTTCTCGTTCCTTTATGTAGATTGCATGCCATCTTCTTCTGCAAAGAATCTCCACAAGTGTGCCAGTGGAAAGAAAGCAAGTGTTGTGCTAATCATTAAACATGAAATGTGTTCCAATAGAACCACACCAAATGTTAACCTAATCATCACCATGAAATGTGTTCCAATCACAAGGCAACAAATGTTATTCTCATCATTAACAATGAAATGTGATCCAATAGACAAACAATAAATGTTAAGCAAAACCTTAGCTCTAATATGTGTTCAAATGGCAAAGAGACGTGTGTGAAGTTAATCAATATTATGTAAGGTGGATACAAGCATCCAAGGCCACGTTCATCTCTAAGGAATATGAATCCCACCTCTTCAAACTTTGGAGGGATGAATTATCACCAAACATTTAGCTCTTAGATTCCTAATGAATACAAACTTGCCAACTCACCCTTAAGTAGACTTCCACCTTCACATTTAGAGTGGTGAGTAATCACCAAATCATTAACTCCTAATGCTATAAACTCTACACCTCAACCTATTTAGAGTAGTGACTAACCCTTCCCCTTTATTCTCTAATGGTTGCCAAAACACCACTTAGCATTTGTGAGAAAAATCTAGCCAAACTCATCATAATCCCCTTCTCCAATTCAAACTAAAAATATCCCTAAATACATATGAACATGAAATAGCTAGTTTTTGAAATAATTTGTAGGAAAAAAGGATTTTACATTGAAACTATTTTACATACCGAGAATAGGTTCTTGCATAAAAATAAATCAAATAAAATCATTACGTAAAAATAATTACCCAACATACACCCATATATATAACCATTTTTTTAAATACGGGGTATTACAACCATATTAAAATAAGGTTTTCGGACATATTTTGATTGCCACTTATCGCAAAATGAATAAACTTCCGAATTTCTTATCTTTATATAATCTCAATAATTTTTTGGATAGGATTTTGAGTGACACGCGTCGCTAACGTGAGTAACTCTCCAGATTTCTTATCTTTATGCAATCTCAGTAATTTTTCGGATTGGATTTCGAGTGACGCGTGTCGCGAGTAACTCTCCAGATTTCTTATCTTTATGTAATCTTAATAATTTTTTGGATATGATTTCGAGTACCACGTGTCGAGATGTAATTGGTTGTGCAAATTTTAGATAGGATTCTTATCTACGTGGCACTTCTTATCTTCAGCTTTCAATGTTGTAGGAATGGTGTAGGTATTTATAGGAAAAAAATAGTTTTTTTTTTTAATTTGTCCAAAAAAAATAATTTCAAATTCCAACGGTAACTTGATGGCATCATGACATTAGCTAGCCCTTGCTAGCTGACGCTAGGTAGCTGTTGGCATTCAAATGGGATGAGCTGGAAGGCTGGTAAAATGTCAAGCTTGACATTCTGGAGCTGGAAAGCTGGCAAAATGTCAAGCTTGACATTTTGGTGCTGGAGGGCTGGCTGGAAATGGTCAGCCCGCTCACCTGATTTGGGGGTTTACGCTCGGTGGGGCCCACAAGCCATTTGGCCTAGCCTTCGGTTGGAAACGGTTTTCGTGTCATTCCGAGCTATTTTTAGCCCTATATTCTTTTGATCAGGTTGGTTGGAGATGGCCTAATAAGAGATATATCTACTTTCAAGGATTTTTGCCTTTTATTTAATTTTTTATTTCTTTTAATTGCTTTTTTATCTAATATGGAAAAACTTATACATATTTCGTTTGCAT